CCCTGTAGGGAGGTGTATATATATATATATATATATATATATATATATATATATATATATATATATATATATATATATATATATATATATATATATATATATATATATATAATATATATATATATATATATATATATATATTTTTTTGTGCCCTGTTCCTACAAGTTTTTTTTACCAGCAGTATTGTCACGTCGGGACGACGTGAGGTAGGTGGCCAAGCAAATGTAGATAGCCTGTACTGTCTGCACAGACAGCCTATGCTGTCTGCCAGCTTAGTTCATATTTCGTGGCACTAAGGTGCTGCCACCTCTAGGCCTGCCCAGGTCAGTGGGATGCTGGTCCCACTCTCTCACTCGGTGGCCTAGACTCGGACAAGTCTACTCCCTCTCTCCCTCATGGGCATGGCCCTCCTGGGCCATGGGCACAAACATACAAGCCTATGTACCCACCACGACATTGCAAATAAAGTAAGAAGCCTCTGAAGACGTTTATCATTTGAACCCCGCTCTGCAGAGTCACCAAACAAACTGGTTATATATGGTGACAGCTGGTTATAACTAGGTCACTCTCCCTGAACCATGAGCTTTATCATACCTCTGCTTAAAGCTATGTATGGATTCTGCCTCCACTACATCGCTTCCCAAACTATTCCACTTCCTGACTACTCTGTGGCTGAAGAAATACTTCCTAACATCCCTGTGATTCATCTGTCTTCAACTTCCAACTGTCCCCCCTTGTTGCTGTGTCTCATCTCTGGAACATCCTGTCTTTGTCCACCTTGTCAATTCCTCAGTATTTTGTATGTCGTTATCATGTCCCCCCTATCTCTCCTGTCCTCCAGTGTCGTCAGGTTAATTTCCCTTAACCCCTCCTCGTAGGACGTACCTCTTAGCTCTAGGACTAGTCTTGTTGCAAACCTTTGCACTTTCTCTAGTGTGTTAGTGTGTGTTAGTGTGTGTTAGTGTGTGTGTGTGTGGGCGGGCGTCTGGCTTAGACGTAAACGAAGGATGGTTCAGTGTGGTTGGCAGGTGTTAGGACGTACATGTGATGATAGCTGGATTAAAAGTGTGATCCAGTATTGGTTGTGGGGGTTTGTTTATAGATTTGTGTACGTGTCCCCCAGGATGAGGACTGCATTACTATCTATGGTCACTTCCCATCACACCTACGTTCGGAGGTGGCGGTATATATATTTGTAGGTAATTGTGCTCATGTATGCTGTAAGGATGATGCTTGGGTGAGGTCTGTAGTGATTGTGATACTGTCACGCTATGACCGGCTTATATGTTCATGTAAAGCTAGGTGAATGAGTAACAGGGTAGTGTGTACTGACGAGAGAAGGTGGGCGGTAGCCCAAATGGGGGGAGAAGTGGGGGTGTAAGGAGTGTCGGAGAGACTGACTTTGCAACTTGGTAGTGTTTCTTGTATACACCTTTGTTTTGCACACTGACCTATGTGCAGTGAATAGGTTGTGATAGGTTAGTTTGTGTTCACATTAGGTTACAGAAGCCTGTGCTGTGATATTGAATTTTGTTGACAGCATATTTAATCTTTCATGATATATCAATTGTATGTGTACAACAAAATGTTAATTCAGTAATTGTGGCCAGTGTATTTGGCGGAGATGTGTGTAGCTCGTGCGGATACAGACACTTCTGTATGATTTACCCCCAAGATAGGGGTAGTTATTAGGAATGTTTTTCTTTTTATATTAATGTGAGAGATGTCTTCTGTGCTTAGTTACACGAGTACTGTTGTTTTGGTCCGCTGCACGTTACTTATGTTGAAGGGAGACATGACAATGTTGTGTTTTTCATATATACTGACAGGTTGCTTGAGTGGTGTATGGTGTGCTTGTGATTTTCTCGTTTTTCTGTGACGGGTTTCTTCTGTGTACAACAACGTTGTGCGTGTGTGTACTCGCCTAAATGTACTCGCCTAATTGTGGTTGCAGGGGTCGAGACTCTGCTCCTGACCACGCCTCTTCACTGATCGCTACTAGGTCCTCTCGCTCTCTGCTTCCTGAGCTTTGTCATATCTCTTCTTAAAACTATGTATGGTTCCTGCCTCCACTACTTGCTACGCTATTCCACTTCCTGACGACTCTGACTGAAGAAATACTTCCTAACGTCCCTGTGACTCGTCTGAGTCTTCAGCTTCCAGGTGTGACCCCTTGTTTCTCTGTCCCTTCTCTGGAACATCCTATCTCAGTCCACCTTGTCTATTCTCCGCAGTATCTTGTATGTCGTTATCATGTCTCCCCTGACCCTTCTGTCCTCCAGTGTCGTCAGTCCGATTTCCCTCAACCTTTCCTCGCACGACATTCCCCTGAGCTCTGGGACTAGCCTTGTTGCAAACCTCTGTACTTTCTCTAACTTCTTGACATGCTTGACCAGGTGTGGGTTCCAGACTGGTGCTGCATACTCCAGTATGGGCCTAACATACACAGTGTACAGTGTCTTAAACGATTCCTTATTAAGGTATCGGAACGCTATTCTCAGGTTTGCCAGGCGCCCGTATGCTGCAGCAGTTATTTGGTTGTGTGCCTCCGGTGACATGCTCGGTGTTATGGTCACCCCAAGGTCTTTCTCCCTGAGTGAGGTCTGTAGTCTTTGTCCACCTAGCCTGTACTGTCTGCGGTCTTCTTTGCCCCTCCCCAATCTTCATGACCTTGCATTTGGCAAGGTTGAATTCGAGAAGCCAGTTTCTGGACTACATGTCCAGCCTGTCCAGGTCTCTTTGCAGTCCTGCCTCATCCTTGTGTGTGTGTGTGTGTGTGTGTGTGTGTGTGTGTGTGTGTGTGTGTGTGTGTGTGTGTGTGTGTGTGTGAGAGAGAGAGAGAGAGAGAGATTCTGTGTGTACTTATTGTTAGCAATGTTTATATATATGTATTATGTGTCTGTACAAGATGTGCTCTCAATAAAATATATAAAAAAAAAATCTTGAAGATTGGTGAGGAGGGACTTAACCCTCACGTTGGGTGACTGAAGTGTACAGTGCATGTGTGGATAAACTTGGAAGTGTTGTGTGCTCTGATACTGGTGTTCGTGATCTTCGGATCAAGGTTCAAAATCTCTTAGTAACCCTAATACGGTAAGCGCGTGTAAGGGAGCCCAGCCAGTATGTTGTGGTCGTCCAGGGTGTGGAGCATGTGAGAGTGCAGGATGGAGAACCCACTGAGTGTTAGAGAAGGGGTGTTGGTAGTAGTGTTCCTGGTCTTTTGTGGCACTTTTTCAGCAGCTTTTGTGATTGTGTGTAGCTAGGTGTCTGTAATTTTGTGTGAGCCAGGTGTTTAACGTTCCCGTCTGCTTAAGCACGAGTAGGTGTAATTAGGATGAGAGCTCATCCTTATCACACCTACTCGTCCTTAACTTGTAAAACATATAGGGTGATCAGAATGTGTAAGTGCAGAAATGCCCCTCAGTTTCTCTTCGTCTGACTACAGCAACTACCTTAGGTCACCCAAAACCTCCCTCAGCGAGGGACTACCCCCCCTTTCCCCCTCCCCCCAAGGCCTTCGTGATTTAGAAACTATGCGTCTGACAAGTTTATATCGAGAACAAATTTAAAAACTTCTGAAAAAATTGCTTCATTGTATATTTACTATACATGCAATATTTTTTCCATAGGCCAGACCGGATGTGGAGTGTGAACATGTTTAAAAATGTTTGCTACTTTCACTATTAATGTGAATTATTAGGAGAAATTACCTGCATGAGGTTCACAGAGAATTACCTGAATTATTACATGAAAGTATTTTGGGTAAGTTAAGTGGGACTTAGTCACAGTAGCTCACAGAACTACCTACCTGGATGCCCACTTCATAACCACTCGCAAAAAGTTATACCTAATATTAAATTAAAATATTAAAACGAGCTACTCTGGTAGATTAGAACTGTGGACTATGTTTTAGTTTTTCTGGGTACACAAAATAACTATTGTACAAGTTATACAAGTTAGTACAGAATAAACAAACAGCAACACTCCCATTCTCATGTAACACTCCATTTTTAGAGTGAATGACGATATTATTATTACATATTATCATACTAGAAAAGAAGCGATAATCCCACAAGGGTTGTGAATTGCTATTGTATTGTAAAATACACATAATACAATGGCGTTAGAAAAGAAATTCGTATTACCACTTATTTAATTACTGGATCATAATTATTTTTTGGAAACACCCTAACGCTACCACAACAGCTAGAATTTAAGATTGCCAACACAAAACTACTGTACATTATGGGTAAGTGTCACTTAGCTAAGGTGCGCCTCTGGGAAGAATTGGTGTTCTCTATTTTTTAATTTTTGTTGTCTAATTGTCAAGGTTCTCCACACTATAACCCAGTTTTTCAGTGGGAACGTGTTTGCAATTTCTAAATTAGATTGAGGTCGATATACACCCACTGAACTTCAATGATGCCTGATTAAATTACTATTGTAACAACCAGTTTACTCATTAAATTCACTATGGCGTCCACTCTGTCGCTCCTCGGCTCGAAATTTCTTGATCAAATCAGCATCACCTTTTAATATACAATTATTATATAATTCATATTTACACATGCCAAATTTAGGAAAATTCAAAATTTTCCACAGTTTGTCTCGTGATATGTTGTAAACGGAAATTCTCTATTCTGATTGATAAAAAAAAATCCAGTTTCTTTTTTAAGTGTCCTGTAAAATGTGAAAATTCTAGTTTTGGAATATGGCGTAAATTGGTTGTTGAAGGAATCCCCAATATCCCCCTCATCAGTTGAGTGATTAAACATTATAGTTGATGATCCTATGTACTCGAGACACGAGTGAAAGCCGAAGAAAATAGTAATAAAAGAAAAAGTTTCCCTGGAAGTCTGTTTTCACGAAACGTTTAGTTCAAGAGCTGGAGCTTCCCTCCCTTTTTATGTAACAGCCTGATTTTCCTCTAGCGGGTGACCTAAACTAATTTTTTTTCCCCCTATTTCATTAAAGTCCATCTTGTACTTTTTATTCAACAGATGTTGTGGTGGCGCTGTGGTCTGGTACTGCTCACGATAAGCAACACTGTAGACTCCACCCACTTCATCTCTCACTCCACCGTGCATGATGCAGGCAGGACCTTCTTCCTGGACACCAACACTATAACTCCCACCCACACACTACAAGCGAATCCCCGAACAATCCAGAAGATTGTAAACACCGTTCAAAACTTTGAGGACGAGAACATCCTACCGATAGTAGTGTCAGTTGGAGATGGAGGCATCCCTCAGCCAGACTACGAGGTGCTTTCTGGTCAGCTTCTTGCTGGCGTACTGGAGCCGCGTCACTCCCATGGCGAGTACTGAGATTTGTTGACTTGTTTGACCCGATATCTCGTAATGCATAAAAAGGGAGGCACTACAGAAAACTCTCATTCTGATCCCACATTCTCGCATTTGTCAATATAAACCAAAGCAACCCAGTGCAATTCTGTTTAATTTCATACCGTACAATGTTTATATAATGTAGGGCGTTAAATAGAGCATTGAAATTTGTATTTCATAATATTAATTAGTTTTCTCGTCGATAGAAAATGACCCAAATGTTTCTCCATACTGGGCTGACCCTGAGGGTCGTCAGCCCAACCAGGCACCACCTACCATCTCAGATGACCTGACACCCAACCCACCTGCCTGCAGGTGAGCACAACGTAGCTGACTTATGTCACAGCAAGGGGAGTACTTATTATGAAAGTAATTAATCAGGATCGCTATTTTTAATAAAAAGCAAGTGTATACAGAGCTAAGTTTAGAAACAAACTTTTCATTGGTTTCGTGAAATACTTGTTACAGAAAGTTTGAAGCATGTTACGTGGGGCAGTTATTACAACAGGACCACAGAGCCGCTCTAACCTCAAAAGAGCGAGCGAGGACGATTGCCAAACGTGTAATCCGTCGAGCAAAATGCAGTTGCTGGCGGGATTTTCACTTTTCCTGAGTGCAGTTTGGAAAAAAGTACGGAAATAGTAGCAGGTGCTCTCCAGACCCAGCCACTATTATTAAGTTGTCAGTGATGCAGACCGGGCTGAAATTGCCGCAACGATTAGAAATAGTCTTGTTAGTATATTTCGAGGGCTCCATCTGTGCCCCTCGTTACTTTCTTCTAGCATAGTCTTGTAATTTTCGCTTTCTTCTTCGGGAACTTGAGCCAACACTTGTCGCTTGTTGATCGTCGGCAGCTGGACCTGATGGCATACATATTTGTAAACTTAAACATTTACGTCCGCCTACCCTCTCACGTCTTTAATCGTTGGTCTGGAGTTTCACAACTAGCAGCGAGTTCAACCCCCATCCGTAACGTGGTTTGGTAATAATGTTAGGAGGAGTCCTTTATTTGACCGCCGCCTCTATTTGTTCCAACCCTTTTATCTTCGTATCAAGTAAATGTTATTTTCCGGAAAGGTATTTGAAATTATAATCGTATCGAGTAATTAACTAAATCATTAGTCTGCTGTGGAAAATGTTGTTGACGGTTTCACCTCAGTGAGAGAGCTCAGTGATAGTACTGTAGCCTGACTGAAAACCCTATATACCTTTTTCTCTAATCACAGGAGAAATTTCCCTTTAGTCCAAATGTGTGGTGGCTTCTCCCCTATGATTCTCCCTCACAGAAATGATTTGTATTACGATTAACGGCCTTGTTTACACTGCAGACTTCTACTTAGTGATTTATACCAGCGCACTTGTCAAATATTGAATATCCTTCGGTCTGTCGTTTATTTTTCATTCTGGGAATAGCCACAAGATATTAGTTTCCTCACTGCTGCTTGCATGTACCTGTATGGAGTTAATGGGGGTGCTGGTGGGTGTGGAAGGGGGGTGCTGATGGATGTGGAAGGGGGGTGCTGATGGATGTGGAAGGGGGGTGCTGGTGGTGTGGAACGGGGGTGCTGATGGGTGTAGAAGCGGGTGCTGGTGGGCGTGAAGGGGGGTGCTGGTGGATGTGGAAGGGGTGCTGGTGGGTGTGGAATGGGGGTGCTGGTGGATGCGGAAGGGGATGCTGTATTTACTTTTAAATACTGGCTAACGAAATCGTAATAACACAATTTAAAACTAAAAAGAGAGGGTGGAGGGCTGTACCCATGGCAAGTGAGTTGTAACCCACTGATAAATAACAAAAAGTCACAATACCGTGACTGGAACGATACACAAATAACCCGCACATAAAAGAGAGAAGCTTACGACGACGTTTCGGTCCGACTTGGACCATTGACAGTCACACTGTGTGTGTGTGTGTAACCCACTGGGCCAGCTGGCCCAGTGGGTTACACTAGCCTGGAAGACTCATTCGCCATGGGTACAAACTCCACGCGTTCTGTGATTAGTTTTGCATCAGTTTTATCCGCCTTGAATTAATATTCAGACTTAAGATATTCTGTAGATAAAAATGAATTTATTAATCTGATCATACGTGGGTACGGTGACCATGGGTGGGTAGATGTGTACGATAATGGGTAACTCTTCTATGTAAACGTATTGTAATATCTGTAAATTTATGGTTTGTAATTGCATTCACTTTCCTCTCCACAAACCATTCTCCCGCCACTGACCGAGGACAGGGAAATACCGGTGGCCTGTGAAGCAACGGCCAAATACCGCAGCATCTCTGGTCGTTGTAATAATTTAATTTACCCTCACCTTGGAACGCCTGGTCAACCCATGCCTCGCATCTTGCCACCAGTCTATGGTAGGCTGCTATACTAAGGTAATGAGTGTAATATATAGATGTTAAGAGTTACTGGACTGCTGCAGACTGTCTTCGCAAGATTAAGCCTAAAGTTCCTGGAAAGGAATTTTTAATTTCATAAAATTCTATTTTTTTTAACTAACAAATTTAATATTGAACCAATGGTATAAGTTAGGTAATTTTCTAAGTGTAATACATCAAACCTTGCCAGTTACCTCTCTATTACCCCTCACTTTAAACTGTTGTTGGTAAGACTATTACTTGCCACTCGACTAACACTGATTCTTGTAGCTTTGCTTTCCTTTGACTTAACCAATGTCTTGATAAACTCCACTAATGTAATTAAATATATTCAGATTTTTACCTGAAGATCAATTACATATTTAATGTAATTTAATGACAGAAAACGAACTACTCATTGCATGACTTAATTTGTATAGGCACTGCTTCAATATCAACATTGTTGTTCAGGAGGAAACGTTTCAGATACAATTTACAACCACGTTTCTTCAAATTGGTCCACGTGTTAAAATAACTATTATCTGGATTGTTTAAATACCATATTATTTTCTTGCCTAGTTTCAGAATTTCCATTATCTTAACATGGTTTTTAAAAAGATTATATTTAAATTTGGTTTTGGGAAATGTTTTAGTTAAGCACTTGAGGGTTGGAACTAACTCCAATATAGTTATAATATTGGGTAAAAATATAGTAAATGAATTGTCAGCCAATGGGCTAAATTTTTCATATTTCAGACATTGCACTAATGCGAACTCTGTCTGTGGCTGGGGGTTTACTGCCTAATCCACGGAGGGTGAGTCTCTCAACCAGGGACGCCCCTACAGCCAAGCTCACTACCCATAACCTCCTCATCATGCAGCTCGGTCAGATTGTTGACCACGATCTCACCCTAATCTCTATTATAAAGGGTAAGCTTAAGTTATTAAAGGTAAAATTGGTTTCGCTTGCGAGCGACTATAATAGTGCAGTGCCCAGACTTTTCTGGTACTTGTTTAAATATATATTACACAAAATCTGTCCGCGAGTCTCTAAAGAACTTTTCTTCGCATTCCTCTTTTTTGGAGTTGTAAATTTTTCATCTAATCACTAATTCTGATGATTACTTATCTGCTGTCTTATGCACTCTTTCAAGACAGTCCCTAAGTCTGCAGCTTTGTTACTCTCGTTATCTGAGACTGTTTTGGGGTTTACCCTCGCAGGTAAGTCGAGGCTGACAAATGACAATGGTGCCCATGGCTGGCATCATAGTATATCACTGCCACTGTGGTTGTGGGAACCCTAGTGAGGTAATCCTTATTTTCGGTGGGACACCGCCACTGACATCCTTCAAACAATATGCCATTGATAGAAATTTGTACGGGCGAGCACAGGTGGGGGCGGTACTGGTGAACGCTGGTGGGGGGGCGGTACGGGGAAGTATGGGTGAGCACTGGTGTGGGGCGGTACGGACGAGCGCTGGAGGGGGGCGGTACGGTCTCGCACTGGTGGGGGGGGGCGCGGTACAAGCGAGCACTGGTGGGGGGCAGTATGGGCGAGCACAGGTGGGGGCAGTATGGGTGAGCGCTGGTGAGGGGGCAGTACAGGCGAGCGCTGTACAGGCGAGCACTGGTGGGGGGCAGTACGGGCGAGACCTGGTGGGGGCAGTACGGGCGAGCGCTGGTGGGGGGCGGTGGCGGGTGGTGGTACGGGCGAGCGCTGTACCGGCGAGCGCTGATGGGGGCTGTATGGGCCAGCACTGGTGGGGGGCAATACGGGAGACGCTGGTGGGGGGGCTGTAGGGTGAGCGCTGGTGGGGGGCTGTATGGGCGAGCACTGGTGGGGGGCTGTATGGGCGACCGCTGTGGGGAGGCTGTATGGGCGAGCGCTTGTGGGTGGGGGGGGGGAGAGAGGTGGTGCTTTATTTTTCCTCTCCCCCTTTAAAATCATTCTGGTGTTTGGGCAATGCAAATTTTATTTTACCATTTGGGCAGAGCCACAGAACCATCGGACTGCCACTCAGGGCAACATGGGGAGGGAGGAGGAGGGGAAAGAAAACACTCCGACCCTATTTTAAAATAGCAGTCCAGGAGAGTGGTATTCCAGTAGAGGCGATGTGTGTGAATGTTTTCTGCTCTCTCATGTGAGCACGTCATTGGATCACATAGTCTACGTTGGCCTCCCATAACTCGCCACATTCATAGAGCATGTCCATATGCGTTCTTTGACCCACCACCGAGCCAATTTAGGGTAAATGACGAAGTGGTAACATGGGTCATGCCCATTTTTCCTGACCAACGATAATACAGGGTTCCATACAGTACAATTTACCATTCTCATTTTTATATTCGCAACAGCAGTTGAAATTTGACATCAGTGATCAGGGTATCCAGCACATTAGCTTTCAAAGCATTCAGGTCAATCTTGCAAAATGTACCTGCAAGGGGTATAAAAGGTTCTCTATGCACTTGCAAGGTTTTGAGCAGTTGGTTATGTCATAGTGCTTTTACACGTCCTCTGTTCTTGGACAGCAGAGAGACAAGACTTAGTGTTCAAGTACGATGCATATCCTTGAAGTTCCAGGACTTCCTCTAGATGCTCACGATGAAATTGAAAAGCTTCTTGGACCTACGTGGCAAGAACACAACTTTCTCAAAGAAACGGAACCCAGAAAATGCCCAAAGGTGAACAGTTATTTAAAATTAAAATGATATTCAATGCCGATAGACTATTTTTATATGAAAATTAAAATGTTCATTAATCAACCCTTTTCAGTAATGACTCGGACCAGTCCAAAAAATGTAACCCACGATGTCAGTCACCTGGTTAAAAAGAATTGAAGGTGGATCTGTTTAGGAGCTCAGGCGCTAAGGTTTAGAGATTCTAAAATTGAAGTCCAATTTCAAGTGTAACTTTATGCTGTTGTTAAGGAGCAGTTTGCATCCTATACACATGTTTGCATGGACTTCTTGTTGCAAAGTTGCAAGATATTGCAAAATTGTATATCATAAATCCCTCGGAGTTTTACAAAATTGGTAAGTTGTACAATGTTCTAGTCAACATCAGATGAAAGATAGTTAGATTATCTATACTTCAAACATTTTTGCGAGAAATGTCAATAGATTGCATTATAAAAAAAAATTGAATTTTTATTTTTTTTTTTTTTTGGGGGGGGGGGCATTTTTTGTGAGAATAAGTCAATAAAAACAAAATGGTAAAACATATTGCAAAACAACGTTGCAATTACATAGAACCATCATTCAACAACATTGAAAAAAAATCATGACTCCTATTATTACTTTGCAAATGAGTGCAACAAATGTCAATAACTTATTCCTGAGTTTTAAAGTTTTTGTTTCTATAAAACTCTATGGAGATTAAACACCAAATCTGAGCGTGTTGCAAACCTCTGTCATTGTTGATAATCCAGAGGCAACTGAGCAGCAACAACTCTGTGCTGTTCACTTTAGTCGCCACAGAACTTGTTTAGAATGAAATAATCAGTAATTTAGAATGAAATAATAGTAATTTCTGGAGTAAAAAAAAAAAAAAATAAAAACACTAATTGCCAACATGTCCTCTTGATGAGAGCAAAAACATAAATTACATTTTTGAAAAAACACTTAGAAATATGATAAACAAGCTGATTGCATCAACATGTTGCCAGAACTTTGCACTATTGTTTTGGTAAAACCTTAATTTCCATAATTTTTTAACTTCAATTTTAAAATCTCTAAACCTTAGCGCCTGAGCTCCTTTAGCTTTGTGTTATGATGCACACTGCGCTCATACGTTGGTTAGTGATGACTGTCGTAGCATCACTGTAGCCCGACATTATGAATATCCTGCTGGGCGACGGCATGCTTTTCATCACCAAGCCTCAGTATATCCTTGTGCAGGTATTTTGTCTGCGAATGCATTCACTAGCTCTAGTTTTGAGCGGTGGACGGGTCTGTAGTCTTTTGACTCGGGAGGGTTGGATAATTTAGGATGAAGCACTAATTTGTTTACACGAAAGGAAGTGGCAGCAAACATGTGACCATCCAAAGGCTCAACATACTATGAGCGATACCATGAAACCCAGGGCCAGAGGATCTAGAGTTCCCGAATGCATAAAGAAGTTTCCTGGCGCTCAGAGGCTTCCCTATTTTAGACTTCATCGATTTGTGGAAGGTCGCTGATTCGGGCAAGACTGCCGAGGAAAGACCATTCATTACTCTAAAAAAGAGAAAGATTAGAATTGATTCGAGAAAGGCACCCTGCAGTCTCCTGAGTGTCGCACTGCTGCCGCCGACGGATTGGTTACACATGTGCTGATGTTGCTAGTTACCCTTTAAGGTTCCTGTTACTTTCATGAGTTTGAGAGTGAATAGACAGCCCTGTTGTATTTCTGCGTTGCCTACATGAGGTAGTTCCTTGCACATTTTGTACATTGTATATTCTTTCTAATGTAGCTATTCTTTCATGTTAGAACATAAGGAAGGAGCACAGCAACTGACCTACTAGCACAAGCTGGTCAGGTCCAACTCGCCCACCCACACCCACTCGTGTATTTATATAACCTATTGTTAAAACTACACAACGTCTTAGCGTATATGACGGTACTCGGGAGTTTGTTCCACTCATTCACAACTCTATCATCAAACCAGTGCTTTCCTATATCCTTCCTGAATCTGAATTTTTCCAGTTTGAATCCATTGGTGAGCGTCTTGTCTAGGCAAGGCTGTTTTCCATTTATACACCTTGGTCATATCCCCCCTAAGTCTACGCCTTTCTAGAGTGCAGATTCAGGCCCCTCAGTCTATCCTCTTAGGGAAGAATCTTTCCGTATGTTTGAAGTTACCCATCAGCAAGCTGGAGAGGCTTGATTCACGAGTCCTTCCCCAAACGAGACTAATGGTACGCCACAGGGAAGTTCTACACTCTGCCCCTGGAGGTGAGATGCACTCTAACTAGCCTCTCGCCAGTACTCGAACCCACTATATGGAGTGAATCTTTCCTCACTTTGGCTTTGATTTTGATCTATTTATAACCCGGTTTCGTCTGTCGCCTCTTAATGAAATAGTTCACGTAGGAAGCTCTTTTTTTTTACAGCTGCTGGTTAACTCCTTTGATCCAGAGACTGATCCTGAAAGACCAAACTTTAATTTAGCAAGGACATAATCTCGTCTGACCATCTAGCCAAAGAACAAGCGGCCATGAAACTGGAATGATAGGGAGCAATGCACTGATATAATTGCCGGCCCATGTATCCTGAGAACATATGCTCACTCTGGGCATCACTTTGTTGACAGGCTAACATAAAGGGTGTTGGAACGCCTCACTATTATTAGACACGTTATCACCCGCTGGTAACCGTGAACCATTTACTGATTATATTGGATAGTTGTTTAGGAGAAACTCTCCAGAACCTGGTTTAAAATCTGCCAGATATAGTTCAGATTACTGATATGGGTCTACTATGGACTACAGATTGATGCAGGCTAGTTTAACACTACGGAACTTTTTTTTTTTTTAAATAATTCCTTGTTAGGGTGTTTCCGCTTCGTTTATGTAACTTTATATAAATTCCAATAAAGACCATCTCGCTGATTAAAGAGCAATGTAAATGCTGTAATATACGTTACTAGGCGATGATAAGTGATGTAATATACGTTACTAGGCGATGATAAATGATGTAATATACGTTACTAGGCGATGATAAATGATGTAATATACGTTACTAGATGACAAATGCATTACACTTGACCTAGCAGTACCTGGATGACTGATCGTTGATCAGGTAGAAACTAGGATCAGGTCATAATTTTTGATCTGTAGAAGAGTACAATTAGGTTTTCAATAGCATAATGGACGTACAATATAGATCAAAAGTAGGGATACAAAGAGCTAATTTGTCATATCAAATGCTTTACATGATGATCCCAGAAAATGGGAAAGGTAAGAATAATCCGAAATATTTTACAGCAGTAATTAACTGTGCTCTAGCCTGTATGTAGTTGTAGAGGTCGAGTCACCTGACCCCGCCTCTTCGGTAGTTACTACTGGGTCACTCCTCTCCAAAAGCCTTACTTAAAGCTATGTATGGATCCTGCCTCTTATCGCTTTAGATTGTTCCACTTCCTGACAACTAAGGCTAAAGAAATGTTTTCTAACATCCCTATGACTCGTCTGAGTTAACTTTGTTCCCTTGTTCCTGTGTCCCATCTCCGGCACATTGTCCCTATCCACCTTGTTAATTTCTTTACGGAATTTTATACGTTCGTTTTCCCCATTCCCCTCTAGTGTTGTCAGGTCGAGTTACCTTAACCTTTTTTTTTTTTTTTTTTTTTTTTTTTTTTTTTTTTTTTTTGACCAGGTTTGGCTTCCATAATGGTGCTCCATTCTCCAATATGGGCTTGATGTATACAATGTACAGTGCCATGAATGACACCTTGCTTAGATGCACAAATGTTGTTCTTAGGTTTGGCAGGCGCCCATATGCTGCATCCGATATTTGGTTGTGCCTCAGGGGACGTGCTCGGTATAATGTTCACCCCAAGATCCTCTTCCTTAAGTAAGGTTTGCAACCTTTGATCCCCTAGTCTGTACTTTGTTTGCGGGCTTCTTTGTCCTTCCCCAGGTTTCATTACTTTCCACTTGGAGTTAAACTCCAGGAGCCAATTGTCGGACCAGGCTTGCTGCCTGTCCAGATAATCTTTGTAATCTTATCTGATCTCGTCGGCTTGTATTCCCATTAGTTTCACATCAGCTAAGAGACGCCTTTGAATCTATTCCTTCCATCATATCATTCACATCTACAAGCAGCAGCACTCTGACCCTTGTACGTTTAGCTCTTTTTATAAGTAGTAGCACTGGACACAGGACAGTCTTGTGGAACCCCACTCGACACATGATCACTAATGACACCTCATCGCGCACCAACAAACGTTGTTTCCTGTCGGTTATTTCCTGATCCATTGCAGTACTTTCCCTACTATTCCTGCCTGTTATAGCTTTTCAACCAGTCTCTTGTGTGATACTGTATCGAAAGCCTTCTTACTCCAAGATGATGCAGTCCACCCATCTCTCTCCTGTCTTCTGTTACTTTGTCGTTGAACTCTGGTAGATTTGTGAGACGGGGTTTCCAATCCCTGAAGCCGTGCTCATTGTCATGAGCCCAATCCTTTTCATGTGCTCCCCCAATCTTCTCTATGAATTTACATACTATACATCTGTAACAATGGTCTGTAGTTTAATGCTCTCTCTCTCTCTCTCCTTAAAGATTGGGACTGTTTGTTGTATTCCACACCTCGTGCAGTTGCCCTGTTTCAATAGATTTATTGAAGATAGATGCTAGAAGCACAGTTCTTCTGGTCACTCAGGACTCTTGGAGAGATGTTATTTGGGCCCACTGCCTTAGAGGTATCTAGATCACTTAGCAGTTTCTTCACCTCGGTTATGTGCAGTGTCCAACACTTACTGGTGCACCCTACTGCATCTGCTTGCAAGAAACATTTGTCCTCGGCTCTATAATCTGTTTCAGTGCTTCACTTCTCTACCATGCTCTGTACCCTTGCCTCAGCAACAAGAGCACGAACTCTTTTACCCTTCTAGATAATTTCGTACCATTGTTAAACTCTTAGCTTTTTTTTTTCCCAATCTAATGTGATTTTGATCCTCTGCCAGTGCTTCCTTTTCAGCCTAGGCATCCCCAGTACCCTTACTGGTTCATCTATAATATTAAAACGCGTATTTTCATTGCATATTTCTTTGTTTTGAAGAACTGGACGAATTTCTTAACATAAAACTACAACCAGAGTAAGAATATGAACTGAATTGGTTACATTGTGCAGAAATACATACCCCTAAATCAAACTTGGTAACCACTCTGTATAACTGTTCTAGGTGCTAATGGTTTACCTCAGAGGTGTGATGACTGTACTTCCTGGAGGGACCCGCTGTGCGCCCCCATCCCTATTCCAGATGACGACCCACACCTGCAGTCCCATCAGTTCTACACCGGCCAGCCCAGGTGTCTTCCCTTCCTCAGGTCAGTGTTCTTGCATAAAGCGTGTAGTATGTGGGGGACACTAAAGAATTTTTTTTTAAATATTGTTTTTAATGTTTCTATTATTTTTATTGAGCGATTTTAATTTTAGCTTTAGAGTTTTATAATTATTAGACATATTCCAAATAACTTGGTGCGTTCTCTTGAGTATAAAAGTTTAGGGCAGTGCGCGATCCAAGAGTATCTAACATGGTACACTACACTGGCTTCCTCTCGCACCACGGAGACCTGGTAGGTGCAGGACGTAGGAGACCTGGTAGGTGCAGGACGTAGGCAACCTGGTAGGTGCAGGACGTAGGCGACCTGGTAGGTGCAGGACGTAGGCAACCTGGTAGGTGCAGGACGTAGGCGACCTGGTAGGTGCAGGACGTAGGCGACCTGGTAGGTGCAGGACGTAGGCGACCTGGTAGGTGCAGGACGTAGGCGACCTGGTAGGTGCAGCACGTAGGCGACCTGGTAGGTGCAGGACGTAGGCGACCTGGTAGGTGCAAGACGTAGGCGACCTGGTAGGTGCAGGACGTAGGCGACCTGGTAGGTGCAGGACGTAGGCGACCTGGTAGGTGCAGGACGTAGGAGACCTGGTAGGTGCAGGACGTAGGAGACCTGGTAGGTGCATCTCTCAATATCTCACAAGTAGAGATCTAGTATGTATAATTACCTCAGTGGTAGGAGTGGTGGATGTTGATCCTGACTGGTGGTAAGAGGGGTGGGGGTAGTGGGGTGGGGGTTGTGGGGGGTTAAATTGACATGTAACCATTTTTTATGAACTTGTTCCTGAATGTATTACGCGAGATCAGACAATTTTCAGTTTTTATAATGAAGCTTTATTTTCGACGATAATTTTAAGAGCCAAAACATTTAGGGAAATAATGAAAGCTATCTTGCTTCCTGATTTCTTATGGTAGTCGTATAATTAACACTTAACTCCTCTGTTATGAGTGGTATAAAATTAAAGAAAATCGTCTACAGGAATTGCCGACAGTGTTAACCAATATCTAACTGCTAATTTTGTTAAGGTTGGGAACCAAATTATAGAACTAGGGGAAGGGAGAACAACTTTGTAGTGACCAGAGTCAGTGGCAAGGCTTTAATGACATTTTCTACAAAGCAATAAGAGTGGAATAGACTACCCGCACATGTCAAAGCCAGTCACAGGATGAAGCCAGTTCAAGAAGAGAACCAAAATGTACGTCATGAATAAAGCTTCAGAAAGAAGGGATTTCTTTAATGAAAATAACTAATTTTTACTTCTCCCTTAGTATATCTTTTTATTGTAATTGCTTTTACATAGATACTCGTTTTAATTTTTAAATGTAAATAATCACAAGGACACCAATGGAAATAAGTCACTCTGACGTTATTAGGCTTCCCTAAGTTCTCTACACACGTGCTGTTATGTATGATGATCAACTGTATCTGTGTATACCTAAATAAACTTGCAGGAGTGGTGCAATTGGGGGTCGCGATGCATTGGGTCGTCCGACTCTCGATCAAGTCAATGTAGCCACCTCCTTCCTCGACCTGTCCACGGTAAGTTTTGTTTTTTTTTTTTTTGGGGGGGGGGAGGGGGGAGATATAAGCCGTATCTTTAACTGTTTAATGATTGTTAGGTACCTCTTTGTTTCAAGTCTGTGTGAACTGAAGGTTTTTTGTACGATGTTCTTGTCTCATTCCGGGGGTAAGTTCATTACAAAAATCCTTTTTAAATCTGGAATTATCTTAAGTTTTATGGAGGAGCAGGAAAAAATTTGCCTGTATCCCTTGTATTCCTACTATATATTGCAATGGAGGCTGTTGCACCAGTAGTGTGAACTGCCAGATGTGAGAGTGCAGCTCTACTGGTCTATGCAGGCAGCCTACTGCTGTCTGACCTTGTGAATTTCCTTACTATTGCTGTTATTTTTGATGCCCTTCAGGCCATTATGGCTAGGATAATACACAAACACTTGGAGGCATTAAAATTCCAGAAGTTGATTGCTGGTGAATTTCTAGTTATCTAGAGGTTACTTTATTTTAGCATTGTTTACTACTATTATTTTTTAACGTTGTTGATTTTCACATCCCTATCTAATATTATCTTCCGTACCCCCTACACGGGATTACCTTCAGGTGACGAGGTGTAAGCGTCTTAGCCTATACATGTAACCCAACACCATCCAATTTTTATACCAAAAACCTGCATAAGGGAGAATAACTTATGACTTAACTGGGCGTCTACACTGCAAACTGAATTGACATCCTAATGGCGCTGAAGCTAACTTATCATACTGAGCTTGACTCTGCTTTTTACGATTATCACTGAATGCTCTTGACTTTCGTAATGGCTCTAACATGCTCATTGGAGAAGCCAGGCATAGATACTCAAAAATCCGGAATAAGAAATTATTGTACAGTTATGGCTTCTATCACACACTGGATTACTCCTCCATCATAAAGCTGATACGTTAGCAAATTTACCTGAAGGAAAATGTAAAATGTAACGTTGTATCTGTATTTAGTCCTTAGGATAGAGAAATATTGTTATTGGAATGCAGTTGAAGCCTGAGTAGATCTATGATCCACTATGACAATATGAACGTAGATAAGTACATTTATGGAGCAACTTGCAGTGTTAACACTGTTGTAGTAGCCAGGCTTAGGTTTGGTTATAAGTGCTTCTGGCAGATACAGGTGATCAAACCAAATTCCCAGTATGTAGCCAGCCGTGTGGTCACTCTTGAGTACTGTGGATAATTGTCCACTTAATGAGGTATATGGAAATACAATATAATAACCTATGTGATACGTCGATATATCTTGATGAAAATTAGATACTGGATATGTTTATAAAATTTCCTAAATTTGCTTTCAACACAAGTCAACTGCGGATAAAAATCCAGATGCATTCCTGTAAATCTTTTTGGGGCCCAGTTTTTAAGGCCTTTTGTGTATCCATATCTTACGCTACCATTCACAGCCGCTTAAGCAGCAAAATAAAAATATTGTGACTACGTTTCGGTCTGACTTGGGCCATTAACCACTACAAATCGGACCAAAACGTTAAAAGTTTCATTCTGCCATGTGTGCGTTATTCCTGCATTGTTCGTCACGGTATTATGCCTTTTCCTTCATTTTTTGTCTTCCATGTATGGGGAATATGGAAGTGATTAGAACTCCTGGTTTTCCTACCAGTTGCTCTGCTGTGGTGATCCACGCCACTTAAGAGATTGGTTCATAAGGTGGATCATATAATATTTTAAGTATTGAGTTCATTCGCTGTATTCATGAGACTTGTGCAAGTAGGAGGAAGGGCCCCACTGGCCATCATTTTCAACTTTACCTATTTTATTCTAGTGGAATACCTGGTCTGTTATCCCTGGTCGAGTCGAGGCCTCTTAATATTTACACGGCAGTTAGTTTAATATCTTAATTATGCACCCATACCCATCCTGTGGGCGGAAGTCGAAAAGATTAGGGGTACATAATGGGTTCAGGAACTGATTCCCCCCCTCCCCCCCATCCTCGAGTTTTGATAGCTAAAGAAGTTAAAGGCAATAAAACATTCACACGTCCACATCTGATCACAATGGCTTATCTGTTAGTTCATTTTGTACTTCTGCTCGACTGTTTCTCGTCTGGTGTTACTAAAGATGCGTCATAACAAAGCTTCCCTCGTAGGTTTCCTGGCGGCATTGTTCATGGTAGCTACCCAGAACCAGAACGATGCACAACCACCAGGCACCTGGTCGATGACGCTCACCCAGGCACCTGGTCGATGACGCTCACCCAGGCACCTGGTCGATGACGCTCGCCCAGGCACCTGGTCGATGACGCTCACCCTCTTTTCTGTATTGTCACTATACCACCACCTATTATACCACCATTATTATACCACCACCACCATCTATTATACCACCATTATTATACCACCACCACCACCACCTATTATACCACCATTATTATACCACCACCTATTATACCACCATTATTTTTTCCACCACCACCACCACCCCCACCTATTATACACCATTTTTAACCACCACCACCCTATTTTACCACCATTATTTTAACCCCCCCACCACCCTATTTACCCCCTTATTATACCACCACCACCACCCAAACCCCACCTATTAACCACCATTATTTTAAACCCCCACCACCACCTATTTTACCACCATTTTTATACCCCCAAACCCCCTCTATTTTTACCACCATTATTAAAAAAAAAAAAAAAAAAAAAAAAAAAAAAAATTATAAATTAAAAAACCACCCCAATTTTTAACCACCAAAAACCCACCACCACCAACCTAAACCAACCAAATTTCCCCCCACCCCACCCCAAACCCCTTAAATAACCCCCCCCACTAAACCCCCCCAACCCCCCCCATTTCCACCATTTTTCCCCACCCCCCTTAAACCACCACCCTTTTAAAACCACCCCTATTAACCCCCCCTTTTTAATCCACCCCACCACCAATACCCCCAAATACCCCCCATTAAACCCACCTTATTAACCCCCCCCACCTATTATAACCACCAAAAAAATACCCCACCCCCTATAAAACCCCAAAACCACCCCCACCTATTTCCCCTAATTAACCACACCACCAAACCCCCTTATTAAACCCCCACCACCCCCCCCATTAATCCACCCCCCTATTAAAAAACCATTTTTACCACCACCACCATTACCACCTTAAAAACCACCACCACCTATTATACCCCCTAAACACCTTATTATACCCCACCAACCCCTTAAAACCCCCACCCAAAACCCCATTAAAACACCACCCCCCCCAAAAACCCCTTTTAACCACCACCACCCCTAAAACCCCCCCAAATTTAAACCCCCCCCACCAAACCCCTTAAACCCCCCCCCACCAAACCCCAAAAACCCCCCCCAATACCCCAAAACCACCCCCCAAAAACCAAAACCCCCACCACCTTTTCCCCCCCCCAAAAAAAACCCCCCCCAAAACCCCCCCAAAAAACCCCCCCCCCCATTAACCCCCCCCCACCCCCCAAACCCCAAAAAAAAACCCCAAAAACCCCCCCAAAAAAAACCACCCAATCCCAAAAAACCCCCCCACCAAAACCCCAAAAACCCCCCCCCCCAAAACCCCAAAACCCACCCCCCCCAAAACCCCAAAACCCCCCCCCCCCCCCCAAAAACCCCCCACCAATCCCCCCTTTTCCCCCCCCCCCCCCCACCCCAAAAACCCCCCCCATTTTCCCCAATTTTAAACCCCCCCCCCTTTTACCCCAAATTTTCCCCAAAAACCCCAAAAAAAATTTTCCCCCCCCCAAATTTCCCTTTTCCACCCCTTTTCCCCTTTTTTCCCCCCACCAAAACCCCCAAAACCACCCCCCCAATACCCCAATTTCCCACCCCACCCTTTTTTCCCCCCCCCAAAACCAACCAAAACCCCCCCAATCCCCCATTAAACCCCACCCCATTAACCACCATTTTCCCCAAAACCCCTTTTCCCAAAAACCACCCCCCCTTTTCCCCCCATTTTTTAAACCCCAACCTTTTTCCCCAAATTTTTTCCCCCCAAAAACCAAAAACCCCCCAAAAAAAACCCCCCCCCAACCAAACCACCCCTTAAACCACCCCCCTTTATACCACCTTTTCACTTCACCTATTATACCACCATTATTATACCCACCCACCATTATACCACCATTATTATACCACCACCTATTATACACCATTATTATACCACCCGCACCAATTATACCACCATCTATTATACCACCACCTATTATACCACCATTAATTACATACCACCCACTATTATACCCACCATTAATATACCACGCACCTATAATACCACCATTATTATACCCCACTCTATTATACCCACCATTATTCTACCACCACCTATATAACCACCATTATTATACCACCCCAACCTATTATAACCACCCTTATATATACCACCACCTATTACATACCACCACTCTTATACCACACCACCTATTATACCCACCACTTATGATACCACCAATTATTATAACCACCACCTATTATACCACCCTTACTTAAACCAACCACCTATTAAAACCGACCATTCTTATACCACCACCTATTAACCACCATTAATATACCACACACCTATATAACCACCATTATCTTATACCACCACAAATATATACCACCATTTATAAATACCCCCCCCTATTATACCACCATTATTATACCACCACCTAATATATACCACCATTATTATACCACCAAACCTAATTAACATACCACCATTATTATACCACCACCTAATATACCACCACATTATTTATACCACCAACCTATTATACCACCATTATTAAAACCATCATTATTAATACCACCACCTATTATACCACCATTATTATACCACCACCTAATTATACACCCCAATTAATATACCAACCACCACTATCTATACCCGCCATAATAATACACACCCGCGACCTAATATACCACCCTCTAATTATACCACCACCTAATATACCACACTTATTTTACCACCACCTATCAATACCAACCAATATTATACCACCACATAATA